TAGAATAATAGAAGTAATTAACCAAATCTAATACCTCAAGTAAAGCCACTAAAGCTTTCGTTTTCTTTACTACTAACTCAAAAAGTAAACTGATAGAATCTTATAATAAAATTGCGTCAAAGGCTGTGCAAAAAAAAAATTCATACAACTTTTAAAATTCATATGAATAAGAATAAAAATAAAGCCATTAGTATAATAAAAAGTAGATAGATAAAAAAAAAATTATGAGAACTTCCTCTTTTTCATAGCCCAATATCTAGTTACTATGAGCTTCTCAAATTCTTTTTTACGATTCATAGATTAGAATAGATAAGATAAAATATGTGAAAAAATGCTATAAAAGAAATATAAGAAGAATGTTAATAAAATGTCTCAATTCGAGTTTTTAATAACTTGAAAAGAGTTCTTAATTTGCTTCTTGTATACATTCTCTTGCTAAATTTTACCCAACCTATATATCTCAAATAGAAAGTCTCGTCATTTTTCTTTTGCTTGAGTTATTTTTGCAATCTTTTTTAAAACTATAATTTAATACTAGAATCACTTAAGTTTCTTATTAGTTAATATTTATTGTTAACATACTATTATTATGTCTCAATGAAGTGATTATAGTGAAAACTATGATGATGACTCTACTAGTAGTAATAGCGAAACTAATAGAATAGAAGAAACAGCAAGTAATCCTTCTCAAAAACAACCTACTAAAAAACGATCAATTACAAGTTTTAAAGTGCGTAAAAATAGAAGTTGAGTATGGAATTATTTTGAAATCTTACAATCAACATCTGAATACAAAAAACAAGGAAGTTGCCTGATTGAAGTTGATAATAGAAATTCTCCTAATAGCAAATGTATTTGTGGTCAAATAATTCGTACACAAGGATCAACACGAAACTTTGCAACACATTTAGGAAGTCATGGAGTTACAAAAGGAACCAACTCAACTAATTCTCAAAATTCTCAGTCTAAAATTGAAGATTAATTCCGACTTGCCATAGGTAGAAACTCTGCACGTATTGAACAAATAGAAAAGGCATTAGTTCCATGGATAATCGATGATTTCCAGCCCTTTTTTGTAGCACAAAGTTCAAGTTTTAATCATCTACTTAAAGTATTAGATCCTTATTATGATTCGCCATCTGACAAACAAATTAAACTTCGAATTAATGAAGGATATAATCTTGTATCTGCTCGTTTAAAAGAGATCATGAAGAGTGAAGTTAGATTTTGTCATTTAACATGTGATCTTTGGACCGCACAATCAAAAAGTGGATATTTAGGAGTTACTTGCCATTTTGTTAATACAAAATTTCAATTACAAGAAGTTACATTAGCTGTTACTTACTTAGCATATCCTCATAATGCTAATACTATTCAAGCAGTTCTTGATAAAGTTATTAATTTATAGGAATTAGATCATAAAGTAACTACTGTTACTACAGATAATGCTGCAAACATAATTAAGGCAATATCTTTAATGTATAGTACTAAACGAATACTATGTGCCGCACATACTTTACAATTGGCTATTGGAAAAGGGCTTAAGCCTGCAGAAAAACTTGTAACAAGAGCAAAACGTCTAATTAATTTCTTATCATCTCCAAAACAGGTTAATTTTTTTTTAATCTTTAGTTTGCTTTTTTTTTTTTCTTATTGTTAAAGTTATATTGTAAATCTTTTTTTAATAAACTATTTTATTTTTCTAATACTTTAACTAAATAAATAGGCAGAACGATTAGAAGAAGCTCAAATGGTGTTAAAAAAATCAACCTCTGAAATAAATGCCAATAAAGAATCATACTTACGTGCTACTGCTGACATAATTACTAGATGGAATTCATCTTATATTGCGTGGACTAGATTTCTTCAGCTTCGGGAATCTATCGATATAATGTATGCTACACTCCTTGCCTCTCCAGATAGACAAACCAAAAAAGAAGCACATTATCTAAAATCTATTATGCTAACATCGGATGAATGGAATACTTTGACAAGTCTAACCAGTCTTCTAAAACTATTTGCTGAAGTAACCGAATTGCTGGGTGGTAGCAAATACTCTACTATAGGATTTATGTGGTCTGCTATTACAATATTAACTCAAAATTGTGAACTAAATAGTATGTTGGATGACGAAGTTGAAACTGTTGATTTGGATAATTTAAATACTATTTTTGAAGAGGAAGATTTAGTTGTTGACTACGATAAAATCTCTGAAACTGAAACAACAATCAAAGGACATAAAGTTAAAATTAGTAATCCTACTGACTGTAATGAATCAGTTAAAAAAGTCAAATATAACTTATATAATGCATTAAATTTTTATTGGAAAAGTCCAACAGAAATTTCTTTAGTCGCAACTTTGCTAGACCCCCAATGCAAAAAAATGAAAAAACTTTCAGAGTGGGAACGAAGAAATGCTATTTCAACTCTTCAAGATATGTTAAATAGCTTACCTAATAATAAGCAGCTTAATACTAATGCAGATAGCCCAACAAATATTGAAGACCAAGGATTTCTAGAATTTATGTTTGGCAAATCTACTAACTCATCAAATGAAGATGAAATTGAAAAATATTTAGAAATAAAAGAAGCTAATTGGAAATCCGATCCTTTTATCTGGTGGAATGAACGAAAAGAAGAATTACCTCAATTATCATTACTGGCAAGAAACTATCTTGGAATTCCAGCCACTTCTACGCCCAGTAAAAGGCTTTTTTCAGCTGCAGGCAATATGATGTCTGCTAAGCGAACACGACTTGATCCCTCTTTGTTTGAAAAAATGTTGTTTCTCAAACAAAACTTACCCTTATTAGAAGTAATATTTTAAATATTCATATTACAATATTATATTTCTATAAATATTATACATATTATCTAGCTTATTATTCGTTAGAAAGTTCATATTGATATTGGCTTATAAAATTATTTTTATATTAGTATATAAATAAAAAATGCATTGTAAAAAATAAAAAAATACTTATCTATAGTGCTTT